TATAAAGAGAAATTCCTTAAATTTTCTCGTAAGAAGATTTGATCATATCAACCGCTAGAGATGGTAAAAGATATAGAATAATTATCAGAAAAATTATTGAAAAGAGATTTTAATATTAATGAGTTATATAGGAGTATGGTATTTGATATTATATGACATCTTTTAATCTGATGTAGAATAGCTAACCAACTAGATGAAAGATAAGCAAACCACTAATTTGTCTCTCTCTCTCTCACTCTCTAATTAATTAGAAGATTTTTTTTACACCAAAGAGAAATATATTTAAACAAAATAATGAAGGTAAAAAACAACACTAACAATCCAAGTATTCTTATTAAGTAGAATCACAATCATAATTAATTATAGAAATATAATCCCAACACCTACATAATTGTTTGGGACTGTAGAATGAAGTAAAAACACAACAAGGGGCAATCCCATTATTCTTATTAAAACCTAGATTTCAACATCATACTTGATAATAGAAATATAATCCCTAACACATACGTAATTGTATGGGACATGGTAGGCACGAATACCATACACCATTATAATTATAGATTAGTACTTCCTGCAATATTTAGAAGCATAGAAGTAACCTTCCTTGGTTTACTTGCAATCCTTAGAAGCAGAGAAGTAAGCGTCCTCGGTTTAGAGACAATGACCATGTGATCAGCATTCCTAATCACTCTCACCTCAGCATATGGACCACTTCTCTCAATTATCCACCTTTGAAAATCCTCTGATACTAATTTGTCTTTTTTACCTATGATAAAAACTTTAGGTACCCTTCCATTTCTATCATAGGTAACTGCTGTTTCCTTCAACAATAAATCATAATCATTATAAAGTGGCATAGGTCTCGCCAGGGACAATGCAAGGGTCAAATCCTGCACATCAAGTTACATTCATTAAATTGCAAAATAACTTGATATTAAAACAAATTCAAATTAAATGTTACATAAATTCATCTGAAAATGTTTATATATACCTCAGGTGGTGATAATTGATAAAAAGTGGATGCCAAGTATTTAGGTCCAAACAATCTAGCAGTTGCAGGTTTGTTTGGTCCATCAAAATAGAAATCCTTTGTGTCCATTATAGAATGGTTTCTTCTAGATTGCTGCAAGATAATAAAGGTACGTTTGATTTAGTTTTATATTTTAAATAATTTTTATAGTATTATGATTTTTTGTTTAAAAAATTAAAAAATTTAATTCTTAAGAGTTTTAAATAAAAAACAAATTTCAATAATTTTTTTTGAAATATTATTTTAATTATTTCATCTTTTTATTATAATTTTTTTTATGATATCTAAATTTCTTAAATATAAATATATTTTAAATAAAAAATAATGTTTGAGATATAAATTTTTTTTGAAAATTATATTATTTTGACTATATTTTAAGATTCAATAATGTGTATTTAAATTAATAGACTTCAAAACATATTTTTTAATTTAAAATAAAATGAATTAAAAAGCTTACTATTTTTAAAAGAATTCATAATTTTTTTTTTCAAATTTCAAGAAAAAAATCTATTTTTAATACCAAAACAAATAAACCCTAACTGATTTAATTTAACACAAATTGTTTAGAAATATGGTTAGATTTAACCCATCCCTACAAAATTGATTTTGCCGGGATGACCACATTTTTTTAACATGTTTGTTAAGAGTTGCAAATTGAACATATATGGGTTGAAGATGTTTTTATAAGTGGTAATAATTTTCACCCAATAAATTGATTTTGTAAGATTTAGTTAGACTTATAATTTTTAAGATGATATCAATGTCTCGTTTAAGATCCGTTAGCCTAATTACTATCAAATTTCTGCTCGCAAGTCATCTACTATTTATTTCCACTATCGACCCCTTCACTATTTATTTCCACGTTTTTTATATTAGTCTTGAACACTAGGAGATATAATAGTCCCACATCAAATAATTCATGGGCAGAACATATAATTATTACTGAAAGTAATCATTATCTTATAAGTCTGTTTTATAGAGTTGAGTTAAGTCTCAACCATATTTTTTAAATACAAGTTAAGTCTACATAGGTCATCTCATTTTTTTAAAGGGAAAGTGAAAAAAAAATTTAGGGAGTAAAGTTAGATGTGTGTTTTTTTTTGGTACAAAAATTAGATGTGAGTTTTGTAGAGTACCTCTTGAAGAATAGCAGGGTAAGTGAGGTTTTGACTAAGCACAAATGCAGTAATAAAAACTGCAACTGAAATTTTCTCCGGAAACTTTTCCATAGCAACAGACATAGACAATCCAGCAAGACTATGACCAACAAGAACCACCTTCTCCTCTAATGGTAGAGATTCCATAAATTTCATCAAAGGTTCATGATATTTTGAAATTTGACGAATCTCTTGGACCTGTATTGGATTGATACCGGCCAGAAGCAGCCATTTCAATAAGTGTAACATTATGACCAGCTGATTTAAGCAAAGTTGCCACCTTAAACCAACACCATGCACCATGGCATGCTCCATGAACAAGCACAAAATGCTTACCACTAACACAAATCAAAGGAGAAAGAGTTAATAAGAAAAGAATGTGAACAAAATGCATGTCCCTTTTCATCATATTGATTCACAATACTTTACTTTATGATACTGTTACCTTGTTGATCTTTTTTATGAATAATTTCTTCGTTTATATAATCGTCACCTTCAACTACTATTTTCCTTTGATAACAACTCGTCATAAAAACTTCCAACCATCATAACAACTTTGCAGTATCCCTTCCACATTTTTATTGTGTGCAAAAATAAGTTTACACGTTTCTAGAAAAATCGTTATCACTTTGATTATAATAGAGACAGATTTTCTGATCATTTATAGTAATATTTTTTATTGCATGTTTTAGGCTAAAATAACTGAACGTCGTCATTGAGCAGAATCGATCAATCATTACATAGGATTCATTTCTGAAAATCGTGGTCAAGAGATTGGTTCCTGCTCCCATTATGGTTTTTTTCTTAGAGATTGTATTTTATCTTTCTGGTTGTATAGTAGTATCACTTATAAAACACGGACAATGAAAATTTAACACCGAAATTGATACGTCGATATTGATAATAAAAACCGAATAAATTAAATATAATCACTCACATACTTTTTTTTCAAAAGTCTCGTTTCATAGAGTACCACTGATATCTCCTATCTGTATTAGACATTTACTTATGTCTTTTTTGTTACTAATATATACATTTACTTCAGTCCAGCTCAATAGTTTAAAAATGGACCACAAAAAATGGACCATTAATATTAAATATATAAAAACAAACTAGTTAAAGGCTCATATAATTTACACTAGGATAAATTGACATTTTTTACAAAAGAAAACAATACAAAACTCTTAGATGTGTTTTATCTTTATTAGAAAACAATATATATAAGAGAAGAAAAAAAATAAAGAGATATATATTTTCAATGTGGAACTTGAATAATAAAATGAAGGAGAGTATCTTAAATGTAGGATTTTTAATATTTAATTTAAATAAATAATCAACTGAGAGTAATAATTTAATTATTGAAACAATTTTATGTATATTTATTGTATTCATATAATTATATACTCAACTTTTAATTTTATACCATACAAGTTTTATCTCAAAATAATATTTATAACTCAAGACATAATATTTATAGCTCAAGATATAATCATCAAAAATAGGTAATATGAGCAAATATGCATAATATTATATATTAAATTTATAAAATTTATTTTACTATGTCAGAATTTATATTTATATTTTTTATAAACAATAGAGTTGTAAATATCACTATTAGAAATAATACGTTTTATGATAAAACTTTCACCTTGTACAATACATAACCGCTACAAAAAAAAAACTCCAATTTGCTAGATGAGTAACACCCCTCAAACGCAAATATTACACTGCAACGTAACTTTTGCGGGATGGATGGAATACCCTGCAAAAACGTTAGTCGCAACTTTTGCAAGGAGAAATGTACCCCACAATTTTTCATGGAGAAAATCACTCTGCAACGTTGTCAGATGAAAAGCACCCCGCAATTCTTTTCTCAAACTTCAATACAAATCAAAGCAGTTGAGTAGCAAATGATTCAGAGCATAGTGGAGCAAAAAGTGGCAGAACCTTACAGAGTGAAAAGCACCCCGCAACTCCTTTCCGAGATTTAAAAAATAATAATATTCAATTTTTCTTAATTTTAATATTCTGTTTTAAAAAAGCATATTATTCTGTTTTTATAAATTAATATTAATAATAATATTCTATTTAACAAATAAATATTTTACTGTTTTTGAAAAAGTAATAGTATTTTGTATTTCAAAATATAATACTTAATTTTAAAAATATATTATACATATTTATACTCATTTCGGTTTTAATAATATAAAAATTAATTTTTATTTTATTTTAATAGTATATTATAAAACCAGCTTATACATATTTATATTTATTTATCAAAAAACAAAGAGAAAAAAATATACAACCAACTCATACAAATTTATCACTAAATCTAAATTTATCATTATGTTTATCATACAAATTTAACACTGTCTTTCATAAAAATTTATTTTAACTAACTCATACAAAATCAAACAACCCATACAACCAATTTATTCATATCTTTAAATAACAAACAATTTATAAATTTATGTATCTTTATAAGTGAATTTGATGAGAATATGAAATCAAAATCTGAATCCAGCAATAAATTTGAGTTTTTGAGATTTGATTTGGAGTTAAAATTGAGAGATTTGAGAGATATAGAGGGGTTGGGAAAGGGTTGGGAGAAGGTAGAAGATGAGATCAATGTTATGCTTCTGTAATGAAGAAAAATAAAAGGATTTTGGTGATATATAAAGCAAACTTGCAGGGTGAGAAAAACCCTACAATATTTGTTACCGTTGAAATTTGCAAGGTGAATAGCACCCCGTAACTAAAGATGTCAGTATTGACCAGAGTTCAACTTTCCCTCTATTAAATTAATAAATACAATCTATACTTTCCACCGAATTTTTCAAAAAATACTTACGAAGTAAGATTCACCCCGCAAAGTTTCTTACAGTTGGAACTTGCGGGGTGCTTATAACCTTTATATTTAAGTCACAATAAAGTTACCCTGTCCCCACTGACGCATCAATAATTGTACAACTTGATTTTTTCAATAACGCCACACTATATATCTCAATCAGAAATATTTTTAATCACAAACATTAGGACAGACTAAAGTGAAACATATAGGAGCGTGGAAACAACCTGTGTGATAGATTGCAAGAGAAGAAAATAGTATTAGTTCAAGATTTATGTTCTTTACAAAATCTATTGTCTTTATACATGATAAATTATTTTTCTTATCTTACGTTTGATAATTTTATATAAGAAACAAATGAATGAAAAACCATTGAAAACATATTGCAATACACAAATATGCAACATATTTCAAAAGGATGATCATGAAGATTCTTCTGAATTTTTCTTATATATATATATATATATATATATATATATATATATATATATATATATATATATATATATATATATATATATATATATATATATATATATATATATATATATATATATATATATATATATATATATATATATATATATATATATATATATATATATATATATATATATTTCACGTCGGGTAGTTTTAACACTGAGAAAAAAAAGTTGTGAGATTTTCAATAAAATATGAAATTGATGTTGTTGGGATTCGAGCCCATGAGCTGTATAATTTTTTCTTATATAGATCTATAATTGAGGTGAAAAGTGAAATCTTTTAATGAAGTTCTTCGTTATCCCACCTATAAACTCCCTTTTCAACCGAGGTAAAAGGAAATTTCATTAGGGGTCTGCATGGCTACCATATATTGTGATCCAATCCACTTTTATGGTTATGGTTTACAAACCAAACCATTAATCACAAAAACTGATTTAAAAAACATAATTGGTTTCAAACCGGATTAGAACCGGTTTGAAACCAGTTTTAATTTTAATCCAAATTATTTAAATATAATTTAATCTATATTCAATTCATTTTAATTAATAAAATTTTAAAATTAAATCAGTACTAATTTTTTTAAACATTAATAAAGCATATTCTTAATTTAATTTTAAGCAGATTTTAAAAAATTGTCGCGGTCGTATTATAACTTTTGTAATTTCGGTCGATAGAAGTGTCACGACATTGATTGTGTTCGGCGCAGTGTAAATTATTAATTATAATTTGTTTTTTTAATATAAAACGGATATAATAGTATCCATAACGACATATGTCCAAAACATTTTATCGCAGTCGTTCTCACGGTCACAAAGCATTTTTTAAAACCTTTTTATGTTTAAACGATCCTTTTTGTTTTATCTATCCTAAAAGAAAAATCAATTAATACTGAGATAGTATTGATTAATTTACTGTGCACATTCATTTTCTTATATAAAGTATATGTATATTAAATGAAAAGGGATCAAGTTCAAACAAATTTCTTTCAAATTAAAATTTGTCTTCTACAGTGATAATAATATATCTTACTTTTTAAATGTTTAGTATACTATATCTTTCAATTTATTTGAGAGTGTTTGCATATTTTTGAATTTTTTTTGGAATAACCATGTTTTAAAAAAAATTCGCAAATAATCATGTTTCGGGAAAAATTATGCAAATAAGCATGTTTCAGATGACTCCCCAAATGAGGAGCCATCTCACTTGGCGCCTACACCTACTTTTTAAGGGGAGACGCCATCTCACTTGGTGATAGGTGTTTAGGGCTTGCCCTAAGCCAAGTGAGATGGCGCCTTAGTGCATTTGTTAGGGCAGTTTTCGTGTTATTTTTTAAATGCGGTACGTTACGTATTCAATATAGGATCAACAAAATTGACTTTTTATTTACAAAATATGATTACACACATAAGTATTACATAAAAAAACAGATTAATCAGTGGTCCCCTGGAACCCGGTAATGACCCCCGGTTCCGCATCCCCGTCCTCGCCTTTCCCGTGCTGGGTTTCATCGCGTTTCCTACTGTGGCAGGGTCGATGGCCCAACGAAGTCAATGCATTCTGGATCCATGAAATCAGTCAGATCTCCATATCGAGAAGATCCGCTTTGGTACAGTCGGTTACCCATACCCTCAAAGTTTGGTCGTGTTGGCGGTGGGTGGGGTTCCATGGTTGGTCTCTAGCACTGGTCGTCTGAGTACGGGGGGTAGAAAGGAAATGGATCTTAGGGTGTTTGGTATTGAGGATGTTGGGTGGTTTGGTGATATTGTGGTTGATGGTAAGTTGGGTCGGTTGGTTCATAATCTTCTGACATTCCCAGATCAGGGCTAAGGTTGGATGTTGAGGGGCCCATATTGGGATATGCAGAAGACTGAAATTGTGTGTGGGGTATGCGGGTGTGTTGTATTGTGATTGAAATTGCTGTTGGGTGTGAGGCATATGGGGGTATTGGTACTGAGGTGGTGATTGTGGTTGGTTGTGGGGCATGTGGGTGTAATTGTAATGTGGTGGTGACTGTGGTTGGGTGTTTGTGGTTATGTTTCGTCTAGGGGGTTGGTGGGAGGTTGATGTGTGTTGGGTTT